GAGTCCTTCTGGCTCTGGCGTGGCATTGCGCTCTGCAGCCGCCATTAACCGTTTTTTCCCAAAGAGCTCTGGCCGCCATTTTGAGCTCTCCTAACAGCAGCCACAAGGATTTCAGAACAGAAAGGACCAAATTATATCTCTGTGTTACAGCAATGTTCTTAAGTCTTCAGGGAACCTAGCTACGCATGGGTCTCATCCTTCTCCCACATACAAAATCTGCTGTGAAAAATTTGCAAAGAAAAATGTTTCCTCCTCACTCCAAAACATACACACATATAAATTCTGGAGGCAACAATAGTCACACACATGTTCACGGCCGCTTGCTCATTTTCCACAGGTTCTGACTAACACCACCGAAGTTAGGAACATTTCTTTCTTTTTGGGACAATATCTTCCCACATCCCCCAGCGTAGCCTGGGAGCTGCAGTCCAAAAAAGGGAGCATTTTCCAAATTTCGGTATAAAAAACACCACCACCACTCCAGTTTCAGCCACCGGCTGAAGGAAACTCTAAGCCCGATGCTTGGCTTGCATGCTTTAAGAGTCAGGTTCCAGTGGATGCGCCCTCCTGCTATTCTCTTTTTACTGACCCGTGGCTCCCCATGCTTGACCTCACCACCACCTCCGACTCATCAATCACAGACTTCCCCATGCTCTGTGGGGAATGAGAGAGGAGAGACGCAGATTCTCTTCAGTTGCCTTGTTCTCCAAGACTACGTTTCCCCTCCTCCCCACCCTGCAATGGCCTCCCAGACTCCAGTAGGCAAGCCGAGGCTGAGAGCAATTTGCAGTTGTGCCGCTCCTGCTAAAAATGTCCATCCACCTACCTCAGCCCCTCTACCCTGCCCTGTCAGAAAAAACAAAAGAGAACAAAACCTCTCGCCTAATACGAGGATGGACACCAGCTGCATGATTTGGCAAAAGAAAACCACATTTTTGCTTCCTTTTATCGCAAAATGAGCAAAACAACAATCAGAAACTGAGCCAAAACCCAAAGTGTACCTGTATCGGCCTTCACGTTGCCTATCGACTTATGGCAACCCCATGAATTTCATAGAGGTTTCTTCAGAAAGGAATATTCAGAGGTGGCTTTGCCATTTCCTTCCTCTAAAACAGGGGTAGGCAACCTTTCCCCTTTAAGGGCCAAGGGACTTCAGCTCCCAGAAGCCTCAGCCATGTTGGCCAATAGTCCCATGTTGGCCAATAGCTCCTGGGATTCTGGGAGCTGAAGTCCCTCGGCCCTTAAAGGGGATAGGTTGCCTACCCCTGCTCTAAAATATAACCTACAGCACCTGCACGGTGTAGTGGTAGTAGTTTGAGCATTGGACTACGACTCACGAGACCAGGATCTGATTCCCTCCTCAGCCATGAAACCCACTGGGTGACCTTGGACAAGTGACATATTCTCAGCCTCAGGGGAAGGCAATGGCAAACCTCTGTACAAAATCTTGCCAAGAAAACCCCATGATAAGTTTGCCTTAGGATTGCCCTAAATTGGAAACAACTTGTAGGCACACAACAAACCTGGTATTAGTTGGCAGTCCAATTACTAAGCTTCCAAGAGTACATAGTTTTCAAGATCAGATGGGATCTAGTGACTTTAGAGTAAGGTACTATCTTATTAATTCAGAGGTGTAGAGTTCAGGTCTATCCTGACCCCCCCCCCTTTTACTTTTGGCCTTCTTGCC